GAGGAGCGGCCGCAGCGGCGCGCGGGGAGCGGCGCCCGCGGCCTCGGCTCTAAGCGAGCGCCTCTTCCCTCGCAGGGGCGGCTCGGACGGGGACGCGCTGCTGCCCTACCCGCCGTCCCGCCACGGCCCGCGGCACCCGCACCGGCACGTCAGGGACTGCCAGCCCCACGAGCATGGCAACGCCACCTACGAGTCGTGGCCCGGCGACGCCACCGCCGACGGGCCCGTGGCCACCACGCGAACGTTTGTGTCTTACGTGCCCGCGGCGGGCGACAGCCGCAAGGTGGTCTACGGGCACTTCACTTTTGCGAGGAACCCCCTGAGGACGCTGTCCGTGCTGGAGCCCGGGGGCGCCGGYGGCTGCGGCGCTCACCGCAGAGCCCCCGTGGAGGAGACGGCGAGGCTCGGCCAGTGCCTGGTGGCCCAGAACGGCGGCTACTTCGACATGGCCACGGGGGAGTGCCTGGGCAACGTGGTGAGCGACGGACGGCTGGTGAGGAACGCCCGCGGGCTGCAAAACGCGCAGTTCGGCATCCGCAAGGATGGCACCATGGTGTTCGGGTAAGAGCGGGGCAGTGTTGCCAGAGCGCTCTTCTCCCGCYCCGAAAGTCGGGAGCAATCTCGGAGGCAGGAGCCGCTGTCCCCTTGGCCGCTCCCGTTGGAGCAGTAGGATGGCTGCCTCTTTTCCATTAGACATATCCTACCTGTAACCCAGTGARCCCTTGCTCTGGCCCCTGGCTTTCTTTCCGGGGAAGAAAATAAGTTAGCTAAATCACTCGGATCTTCTGTGGATACCTAGGCCGCTGGGTCTCCTTGCCCCCAGCATGCGGCAGCACGACTGTGAGTGAAGGGAGAGAGGTCCCTGTTCCACCCCACTGAGAAAGGAGGCCAAGGAGGGACTGAGCAGCAGCTCTGGCTACAGGGCAGAATCCCAGAGGCTGGAAGGGACCTCTGTATGTCTCTAGATGACCTCAGCTACTCGGAGCAAGCACAACTAGAGTAGGTTGCTTAGGCTCTCGTCCAGTCAAGTTTGGAATATCTCAAAGGCTGGAGGCCCCTCAGCCTCTCTCTACAATCCGTTCTGGTGTCTAACCACCCCCACAGTAGCTTTKTTATTCCAAAGTAGAAACCAAGACATCCTCCAGATTGCCTGTATCCTGTGCTGCCSTCAGCAGGTATCAGAGCCTGTCATGAGCAGCAGAGCCTGTCAACATGATGCATCTTCCAGTTGCCCAGAGAAGGCCTGATCCAGCAGGAGAGATCATGTAGTTTCTGGTGGACATCCACACTCAATATACTAAAAACCTAAAAGCTGAGTTTCCAGTCCACAAGATGTGGGGTGCATGTAGAGCAGTTGGTTTTAAACAGCCAAACAAATATTTGCAGAGCTCACAGTGCAAGCACAGGTGTTCAGCCCCCTCCTTTGCTGCTGTCTAGCTGTTGCAAACATTACTTAGCATCTGATTATAACGAGTCAGATGTTGCTCAGCACTCTAATTCCCAAGATAAGAATATCCCTAGAGAAACATCCCGCAGGGACATGGGACCCTCGTCATGGACATAGTTGCTCAACAGTCCTTTGCTGCTGTCTTAACAGTAAAAGAGGGAGGAGGAAAGGCTAACTCTTTCTCAGACTGGGAGAACAGGGCCCATCTTTGTCTTTCCCTCAGTGAAGCTGTGAGGTGTCTGGACACTATTACTGAAAACTCTCCCAGAAGCTGTTTGGTGCAACTGTTTGAGAATCAAAGCTGTATTTTTGGTTGCAGCCAGTGTTCATTCGACTGTCCTTCCCTGCTTCTGGAGTCTGTTGGCAGCTCCAGAAGAGGCTTTAACGTGCACTTGCCGTGCTGTGAGTAACCCCTGCTCTCTCTTTCCCTAGTTACCTGTCTGAGGAAGATGTCTTGGATCAAGAGAACCCTTTTGTGCAGCTCGTGAGCGGGGTGGTTTGGCTCTTGAGGAACAGGGAAGTGTACATCAATCAGAGTCGACTGGCTGAGTGTGATGAGACTCAAACCACAGGTAAACACTGCAGASCTTCAGCCTGGCCACGGATTCCTCTTGTGGAGAGGCTGCTGGAAGCGGGAGGAGCTTTGGAAGCTCTGCTGTCTCCTTGGGAGCGCTTGACGCTGCTTCACTTCACAGGGCCAGATTTCTTYTGTGCTACTTCATTACTCCGAGTCACTGGCAAGTGTGGTACAAGCAGCAGGTTCCTGCAAGACCAGGCAGCACTTGCTGGCTCAGCCTTGTTGAACACAATTTGTTAACAGCTGGAAAAAGGCCTAGCGTGGTCTTGGTTCTTCCCAGGGAGACTCACAGCAGACACGTCTTACGAGGGGYTAGGGCTGAGGCTTCTGAATCCTCTTCCCTTCTCCCTATACCAGTAAAAAATCTTACCAAGAAAGCTTCTAGAAATCTTATTGATAGATGGGCTGGATGGACAAGAGGATGCTGGGCTATGTTCTCACTGTATTTCAGTTTAGCTGAGCTTTTTGCTGGGAGCTGTTTTACAGACAGATGTGTCTAAACAGCCAATTCCATCACCCAGTGAGCATTTGTTTCCTGTCATTCACAGGAACCTTTGACAAGTTCATCAATGTGATATCAGCCCGGACTGCGGTGGGACATGACAGTCAGGGGCAGCTGGTGCTGGTGCACGTGGATGGACAGACAGAATCCAGRGGGTAAGGCCACCACTAAGGTAAAGCCTTGGGCATATGAGACCAGTCTAAGTTCTGTCACTGGAATTGAAGGGACTGCTGCTGCCTGTAGTGAGCTCAGGGAGTCTCTGCCTTAGAACATAAAATATAAGTTGAAGGTCCCATGTAACAGTTTGTGGTGCTAGGAGGGCAAAGCCAGAAAGGCCTGGAGAGTCCTCCGGAGGTGGGTCGGCCTGCCTGGGATGGGAAAACTTCTCCCCTTCCTTTGGGGATGGGGACTGAGCTTCTAATGCAGCAGATTCACCCGTGCAATGAGCGGCTCTTGGCTCCTGCAGGCTTAACCTCTGGGAAATGGCCRACTTCTTGAGGCAGCAAGGAATCATCAACGCCATCAACCTGGACGGAGGAGGCTCCGCAACGCTCGTCCTGAACGGCACCCTCGCCAGCTACCCCTCCGAGCACTGGTAGGTGCTGCCTGCGCCGGTGCAGGGCTGCTCGAGCCACCGAGCCGCTCCACTGCTCCCCAAGGGACACAGTTGTCATACGTGATGTACAAACAAGTGACCAGTCTGCAGAGCAACCGGCTCTCAGCTTCACAGCGATGTAGTGACTGCCTGTTTCTGTTTTGTTCTTCACTCAGTAGTCTTACACTAAGTTTAGCTGTTTTAAGACATGCAGCAAAGCTGTTCAGCGTGACTGAGTGACCTGGTGCAGGACTCAAATATCAAAGCAGCTCTTGGACTAGGAGATTCAGTTGCATGTTCGCAGGACATGGCTGAGACCTGTTAACAGTTTATTCATGGAAGAGAAACACTGACTTGCAGACCCTGCCCTGGCTAGCACTGCTATTCKTTGCTCATTCACAGCATGGTGAGGAGAGCTAAAGAAAACTTTAGTTGGAATTTAGGCTTTTAAGATGTTTCTGATAGTAAACAGGAAAAAAATCAGAAAAAAAAATCAGACAATGGAAAATTCAGTTGACAATCTGACAGTTGAAGGCCGAGTGTTAATATAAGTCTAACGAAGTTGCTAATATCAAAGCAAAGTGTAGTTAAATGAAGGTGTGTTAAATGCTCCAGTTAGGGGAGGACAGAGACAGGCCCTGCTTTAACAGGGATTTGGTTTTCAGTTTGCTGTTTGTAATTTTGGGTTTTAAATGATTCCTATCCCTTAGAAGTCAATACTGTGTTAAGACTGGAAAAATATGAATGTAAACTYAAGGTAGATTTGCATCAATGATCCAGTTTTCTTATTTACCAACTGGAATTTGGCTGGAAATTTGCGGGTTACATTAAGTGGTTTCACACAGGGCTGGGAGCAGGGGCAGGGACTGACACTGCCCCCGTTGCGTCCCCAGCTCCTTCGACAACATGTGGCGCTGCCCGCGGAGCATCTCCACGGTGCTGTGCGTGCACGAGCGGGYGTGCGAGCCGGCGGGCTGCGGCGCCCACGGGCGCTGCGTGCGCGGCACCTGCCTCTGCAGCGGCCCCTTCCGCCGCGGCGCCGCCTGCGACCTCCTYGACTGCGGCCCGGCCAACTGCAGCCTCCACGGCACCTGCACCGACTGTGAGTCACTGCACGCGCGCRGAGGGGACCTGACACGGAAGAAGAGCCCGGGGGGACACACGTGGGGATACTCTGCTTACCTTAGTGGTCAGGCATGTTGCACCGTGAGCATCATTTGCCAACCCCAGCCTGCTCCCTGGAGCACGTGGTGGGGCTCCTTTGGTGTAGCTCAATGCACAGAGGCAGCTACTGAAGTCCAAGAAGTCCTTCTCCACACTGGTTTGAAGGATTGTAGCTGTTTTTTCTCTCTCCCACGAATTAGCCCCAGCAATAGCTGCTTCCTTCACTATAGGAAACAGCAGTTGCAGGGGAGCCCAGACGTTTATTGCTGCAGGTGCTGGTGCTCTGCTGCACCCCACATAGTGACTCTGCCTGCCASCTGGGGCTGTTGGTCTCATCCTGCTCTTGCCTTGGGGTGTTTGGAGCTCTTCTCCCCCTTCCCTCTGCTCCGAGACAGCACCCGATGCCAGTAGGAGGTGGCAGCAGGGCTAGGCTGGGGCTCGATCTGGAATCTACAGCAGGACTTCACTTCAACCTTTGTCTCTGTTCCCCTGTCTGTCCCAGGTCATGCAACTGGTTTTCTTTGTAAACCTGCTGATGATATGGGCATTGCACTTCACTGTGTGACAAATGAGGCAGTTGAGTTCTGCTCCCTGGCCTTACTGCTCCTCTCTCAGTATTCAGCTCTCCTGCCTCACTGTGGCATGATTTTTACAAGCGTGGGATTGCTGCTCTGTAAACTTGTCTCACATCTCAGTGCTGCTCTGCTGTCCCCAGCCTCTGCTCTTCCTGCTCTGGCTCAGTCTTGGTTTTGTGTCTTTGCTGCCTCCCTGATACAGTTTGCAAACGTGTTTGCACCAGTGACGTGACTGGGTAGAGCTCAGAGGCACACAGGAGGATATTGCTAGTAGTTGTTTCAGAATTGATGTCTTGAACTCCAGGCAGCGGGAAGCAGCACAGAAACGGGTGCATTTTGCTGTTCTTGATGGGTGTCTGCATGCAGCTTGTTTGTGAGCTCAGGATTCCTCCTCTATGGGCTCCCTGGCAGGAGCAGCCTGATCACAGGTGATGAGGGCACTCTGGGAACTCCAGCTTGAAGTTCCTGCTAAGCCTTTCTCTGTTGCTAATATCTGTTTGCATTTGTGCAGCTGGATGCGTGTGCGACGCTGGCTGGACTGGCAGCAACTGCAGTGAAGGTAACGCTGACTTCCCCTCTGCTCTGATCCTCCTTAGCTGCTGGGGGCGGTCAGGACCGCGGGATCGCAGCTGCCTGCAGCCGTGGGCAGGGCCTGTGGTCTCCCCTGAGGGAGCAGTGCCGGGAAGGGCTGCACAGGGGGCTTTAATTGCACTGACAGTTTCACACTTGTCTTGGGGTTAAGCGCTTTAAGTCTTTGTGAATTATTCATTTCCTGCCACACGGACCTCTCATGGCTGCTTGTTCAAGGCAGCGGCTGCTGCCTGGCTGGGAGCAGCCACTGAAGCCCCTGTGGCAGCAAGAGCAAAGCAGGGAGCAGCGGGGAGGCTGTGGGGCTCGTACCTAGAGACTGCCCAGGGCCCTGACGAGCTCTGCCCTTGTCCCTTGCAGTTTGTGCTAGTGGCTTCTTCGGGGCCGCCTGCACCGAGAGATGCCTGTGCCAGAACGGGGGCCTGTGCGACCCCGTGCACGGCACCTGCTCCTGCCCCGCTGGCTACTACGGCACCAGCTGCGAGCACGGTAAGGGCAGCTCCAAGTACGTTTCACCTCTTAAGGACTTGCCTGTCCTACCCAAATCAGCTCCCAGGAAAAGCAGGCAGCAGGGAGARGAATTTATTATTAGAAGAGTTTGAACCTCTCTCCAGCTGAGTTGCTTTCCCAAAGTTCATGACCCAAAGAACACACATACTTGAATACCTCTAACTTTTGAACTCCAGTTTTACAAGTTCTAGAAGTAACAGGCCCAGTAACGCTTTTATCTGCATGRCCACGCCAGCTTTTCTGAACTACTTGAGGCTCCTGTGACTGTGAAAATGATGCTGACAGCAGGAGTTAATTACAGCACAGGTGTAAGTCCTGGGCACATATGGTTAAATAAGTGAAGTTTTATCCTCAGCCCAGGAATACTCAGCTAGTCTTATCCCTGATAGCAGCAGTCTGAGCAGCTCTGATGTGGAGGAGGTTGAGCTTCTCCTAAGAGCCCTGAGGGTGCCTGTTGCTCCAGGCACTCAGCTGCAGTAGGCACCATTGAACTGAGGACAGGGGAAGGTCCAGAGTGATGGATTTAATAGATTCAAAGCAGAGCTTTGACAGTGACTGACTTCTGTTTTTAACCAATTCCCTAGCATGTCCCCTGGGCTGGTATGGGCCAAACTGCCAGGAACTCTGTGCCTGTGAACACACGTGTCCCTGCGACCGACAGACGGGCAGCTGTAACATCACCTATGATGCGGCAACACAGGACCAGTTAAACAGAGGTACCACTGCTTCCCTCCACTGTTTATTTTGGTTTGTTTTTAAAGAGAGCTGGAGGAGCAGCTTTATCACTTCAGGTTTTGTTTAGTTATCACCTTGGGGTGACTAAGATTGTTGCTTCAGTGAAATTTTACCTCCCCGCACCTTTTTCTTCCTGCTCTTGTTTTCCAGCTGGGCAGTGTCTGGCTTCCCTGAACAAAGAGAAATTCTCTCTGTCACAGTAAGTGTGTAACGTCGGCCACGGCTGACCACTGTCTGATATGCAGGGACCCTGCACAGGCATTCTGTGTTCATATACCAACATAATGTATTCATATATTTCAGGATATGATGGGAAAGGGGGTAGAATTGGAAGGCAGAGTAGTGAAGTCKGATTGTAAGACAAGTGCTCAGCCAAAGCCACCACCAGCGACTGAGGTCACACACACCGAGTCTAGCACTCGGCCAGTGTTGTCCTTAACCAAGGGCCACTTTTCCTCTTCTGCTGACACACTGTCACTCCAGGGGGGCTGAGCAAAGCGGTGGGAATCTTGCACTCTGGACCAGCTCCAGAGCTGGCAAAGCTGTAGCCTTGGGGCTGGAACAGCTGTTCATTGCTAAGGAAGGGGAAAGCTCAAAAGAACCCTTTGAAACAAACACACCCTTTTCAAACCATCTTCTCACATGCCTGGAAGCAGAACCACAAGCTGTGATGACACAAGTAGGAACTTCAAGATGTTATTTGCATATTGGGAACTTGTGAACACAGATATCTTACTGAGGGTTGTGTTTGGGGTTTTGTTTTTGTCCGATAGAAGAACCTGGATCGCCATAACCACCATCTTGGCTCTGCTTCTTGCAATTAGTGCTCTGGGAAACATAGGCCTTTTTCTCAAAGCAAGGTCAGAGAGGCAGCCTGAGAGCGGGAACTACCACTACCAGCCCCTGAGGGAGATGAACGGAGAAGCGAGTCACGGCACTGCCTGCGAGGCAGAGGATGCTCAGGACCAAAGCCTAGCCCTTCTTTAAGGCCGTGGCAGGAAAGAARCATAAGGTATTTACTGCACCCTCTGTGGTGCCCATGCTCCCAAACAAGTGCAGCTGGAAGCTGTGAGTCCAGGCCAGTTCCTTGCCTCTTGCCCTGCCCCACTTGGCCTTTATGGGGTGGGTTCCCTGCCTGCCTCACTGCTCTGCCTGGGCCAGGCACGGGTCAAGTGCAGCCAGCTGCCACACACGGGCACTGCTGTCACCCACTGCACACATGGATGAGTGGCGACAGCAGCAGCAGGAAAGGAGCTGCTTCCCTGTGGTGTTTGGGGAAGGCAGATGATCACTATAAACCATAAGTACTTCAGAAAGGTCCCTTCTCATCTGAAAGACGGATATGTGTTTTCAAAGATGTGGCATAAAAAAAAAAAAAAACCCTGTATGTTGCTGTAGTGTAAGTGAGATTTAAGGAATCTGGTTTAATGTTTTGTATTTGCATTGAGCATGTTGAAGCTTAGCTTCAACAAAACATCAACAAACCATGAAGCTTAGCATCAACAAGAACTGACAGAACAGTTTAAAACATTGCAACAGGTGCAGCAACAACAAAACACAACATACCTCATTCTGGCCACAACAGTAGGCTCAAAGGCTGACACAGCATGGGGGCTTTCCTGCACCTCCGTTTCTTCACCCAGCCTGTGCTGACTGCAGGAAAAGAAGGTTTTTCTTACTCAGTTCCCAGTCCTTGAATTAGTCCAACAAACATTTCCACAAGCCCTGTATCTTTGGTGGGTTCCTACAGCAAAATGAGGAGCCATATGCCAGCTTAAAGAATTAACTCTTGGATTTTTTTTTTTTTTTTAATTCTTTCAGGAACCTGTGTGCTCTGCTCAGCTACGTGACCTGCTACTAGGGACCAGAAGGAAGTTGCTGTCCCCATGTGGAGAGCGCAGCAGCCCAGCACGACACAGCCCARCAATGGCCTGGGCTCGGCCTTGTCAGAGTCTGGTCCCCACCTGCTCCAGGCCGTGCTCAAGCCCGAGTGTGTCACAGTCTGCCCAGGCACTGTAAGAACTGCCCTTACCCCCTCAGAGAGCGTGGCTGCCACCGGGGAGCTGGGGCCACGGACAGTATTTCAAGCAACAGCTCAGCTGAGAATTAACCATTTGCCTGGAATACATCCTTGCACAATACATTAAAAAATACTTAAATCGGCTTCCTTGTGAAGAAAGCTAGCCTTTAACATGCCACCATAGTGCTGCAAATTAGGGTTTTTTAAGCCTATCTGAGCCTGAACAGTAAAATGTAGTATGCACTTCTTTCTCTTCAAGTAAAATATATGTAATTCTTGTGCCGCGGTTGGCATCAAATCAACGTGTACACTGAAGATTCTATTTTTTTATTATTTACAGAAGACTATTTGATACTTGAATAAACTCAATTAGAATGAACTGCCTGAAAATTGAATTTTTAATCTAATAAAGTGAATTTAATTTTAAAAATAATAAATACTAAGTTGGACAGGATCTAATAATCCTTTTCCAGATAAGCCCGGCAGGCTGTGTGAACCCACCCATCTCTTCCATTTTAGTAACCAGCCGCGTTGCAGGATGATGTGCACCAGGCTGCTTAGTCTGCTGGTTCTAGAGGAAAAGAACAAAATCCTCGTTTTTCAAGAACAGAAATAACTGGATACCAGCAAGACTTACCTCCATTTCCTTGGGTATTTAAACAGACCAGCACAAATGCTTTGGCTTTTCAAAATTCACAACAAATTGTAAAGATTGAGTTGCATCAAACAGTTGGACACATTCTGTAGAGATGCTTTATTTCCAACATACAGAAGAGTACAGCTCCTAGCAGWACCTACAAAGACTGTAACTAAGTACATTTTTAGCATCAGCTTTGTTGTCAAGTAACACATTACAAGCACTTTGCATTTTGCTAGTGTGCTCTTAAAGAAGGTTTGAGGTTTTTTGGCTRCGAAAATTGGGACTTTGATATATAAAATACAGTTGCAAAGTTGAGAAATACAGCGCTTACTAAAATTTTAATGCCCATTTAATTTATCTGTACTAATAGCTTGGGAGTGGGTGTTACCAATTTAGCCTTCCAAAAGATACCTAATTAAGAACAGAAATCATTGCAAACATGCACTGGAAGAATATTAAAAGCTAAGAGCATGCAGGAATCTTTGACAAATGCCCATCCATTTTAGTCCTTACAGAAATAGTTCTGGTTTTAGCTCACAGTATAAACATTTGGAGTATTAAAGCAGCATGAGCTGGTAAAATAAAATGCATTTTAAAAGGGATTCCTCTGCCTCTAGTATGGCTGGAGTTAGCTCCCATGTCAATGCACAACCCCTCAACACCTGAGCTGATAGTTAGGCTGAGAACTGCAACAAACATCACATGCCTAAAAACGACTGCATTAGGCCATTGAGATCTTGAGATCAATAAGCCCAGCAAGCCTTGAAAAAAATCATTCAGGCTCCCTCTTAACATTCAAAGCCAGAACTAGAGGGTCGTGCCTTGTTCACCACGGAATGCAAAACTCACCAAGAACGCGAATTTCAGCCATTTAATTAGAGTTCATGCATTCTTACTAAAAGATATTTTTTTCTTAAGACTGTTGTTCAAAGGGAAGTGACCCAACCAAACTGGCCCAGATCAGACACAGGAGCCCGAGAAGAGCAGCCTGGCACTGCGGTGCCTGCACCAGCGCGACGCAGGCAGCGGCGCAGAGCCAGCATGGCTCATTTTGCATCCTTCTGAACTAGCATCTGCCTTACGCCAGACTAAGTTATTCTGTCTAAAGCCATTTAAGAGACAGCCCTTTCCAAGCCTGCAAGAACACTGTAATGCTTAGCCAAAACTCCTCAGTTGCAGCATCCTCAGCACTGCCCTTCTTGATACCTGTGCCATTTTTTAAGTGCTCCCTATTGATCTTTCCCAGTTCTACTGTTCTGGGCACCAGTAAACAGTGAAGTGAGACTTACTCATAGAACCTGGAAAAAATAAAGATTTCAAATCCGGCCATATTTAATTGTAAACAGTGGCATAACACTTGGTACCTACAACACAGCATCTTTTCTCGAAGAGATCTCACCTAAGAAACATTAAACATGGCAACAGCTCTTTGAGGTAGGCGTTAGGTTTTATATATGGAATATGTGMATCAGGGAAAAGCCCTCATTCCCGAGGAGCTGGTTTTGAAGCGCTCGGCTGGTACCTGAACACGGAGCTCTGAGCTTACCTGAAACAGCAGCTGCTGAGATATGGCTAAGGAGCAGGGAGAGCCTCGAGGTGCCGCTAACCCGGCACCCAAAGCTGGGAGCTCAGCTTGCCTACGGTGCTGGCTTACGGGATCTACAGGGAAGCACTGTCAACAGAATCCAGAGGCATTTCCAGGCTTACTCGCAACTCCTAAGAGGTTCCTGTGAAGAAAACCAGGGGTCTTACTTGCTAAATCAAGCTAATTAATTTTGCTGGGAGGAGGGAAGGATTCCTAAAGAATTCTGCTTTTCTTGCACCTACACCTCACAGTCAGGTCTAAAAAGTAGCATCCAGGCTGCCACCTCCTTTCCCCAGTTACATTAGTATTCACAAAATAAAAGGGGAGGGGAAATTCATATTAAATGTGTAGATAAACTAAGCAATTTAGTCTAAAATAGATTCGGGAGAGATCACATGAATCGCTGCACAAATAGACGTGAGCAGCAGGCTCTCRTGGGGCAGAGGAATGAATGATACTTATCACCCAGCAGCACAGCTAAGGATGGAAAGGAAAAGGGTCCGTAGGCCGGGAGAACAGGAGGGAAAAGCTCCCGGCGGGCAGCCTGTTCCCGGCCTCCGCTGCCCTGGCAYTCGGGGGCATCACAGGAGGCACCGACACGGAGCTCCATAGGATTGAGCCCTTCTCTGCTGGCTTTCCCTGGCTAAGTCAGGGACATGGGAGAGCGGGACAAGTTTCAGACAGCTCCCTGACAGAGCCAAACACTCTAAACGTTTCCTTGGTGGGATGAGAATGACATATGTGACATTTTTAARTAAATTAAAAAATAAGAAAAGCAAGTAAATGGAAAAGATACTTAGCCAGAGTAAACTGAGGGCAAAGCAGAAAACAGGATAATTACCACAATGAAATATTCAAACTAAGAAGCAAGGCTGAAATGCTGAAAGAGAGCACAAGAGGAGGGCTTGGTCTCATGCTGAGGTGTTGAAAATCAATTTCAAAACGTGTATTTTTAGCAYAGAATTAATTATGGCTAAAGACATAACACGCACAATTAATTGCTGAGCAWCTCTTGATTTTGCATGGCAAAGGTGGTAGTTTTCATCATGTCACGACTCAAATTAGCCTGAAATAGGGGAAAAGAAGTCTCATTCATCTGAGGGAGATTGTAAAGACTAAAGGACTACTGGGCAATTCTCCCTGCCCCCAAATAAATCTTTCCTGTATGAGTTAACTGTTCAGCTTTCACAATGAAAGCTGCAAGCTGAGAGATTAGTTTCTTGGCTCTATTTCTTTAAAATAAAAAAAAAAAAAAAGAAAGAGAAGTAAATTAAATAAACAATATTCCTCACCTCCTGTTGTTGCAATTATGGGGGCACTTTCTTCCTTTGTCAAGCATGCCTGGTGCTTCCAAATAACAAAAGGAACAGGGTTGGAAAATGCTGCACGTGTGTGTTCCCCTTAACTGCACGACTTCTATTCTGCCCTTTGTAGGACTTGGTGGGAGGGAGAAAATGACTCTGTGCTGAGAGGTGCAGCCACGGCCATGGGAATTGCTCTGCTGGATGAAGAAACAATCCRGCCCTCACTGGTCCCCTCTGCGCTCCTTGCACCCAGAGCCCTTGGTTGTGTTTCACAGCTCCTGGAGGCCAAAGAGCGGCTCCAACGAGGAACTGTCCCCCCTTACCTTGCACGGCACGGTGACACGCAGCCCTTATCCCCTATGTCATATAGGATGCAGCCCTTTACTTAAGAACATCCAGCAATCGCAAAGATTAGGACTGAAACAGAAGTCTCTGGGGATTGAAGACAATCAGTTACTCCTTTCTAAAACAAAAGTTCATCCCTTTAAAAAAAGGTAATATTGGATTTAATAAATAGTCATATCTTTCAAATTATAAGTTAAAATTAATTTAAAATAAGCTAGTATTTGAATAAATATGTTTCAGTAAGTGCTTAAATACACACATGCTTTTTTWAAAAGAAAAAGATTTCTCTTCAAGTTAGCTCAAGTTTTAAAGAAGCTAATTCTATAATACTGTCATAAAACRTTGTGCCTTCAGGAAATAAAATATTGCTTTTCTTAGCCCTTTATAACCTGAATCAGTTCCCATCCACTTSAACAAGATGGGTCAGATCTACTTGTTATTGCTTGTAAACCTGAGGAGAAAGGAAAARTAGTCTATCTTTAAGAAAGATTCTGCTTTCTGGACAGTTTTTCTGCCTATATTTTCTAGAAAACAGKTTTTTTTATATCTCAGTAGCTTAAAAAAATTCTCTAACACTATCCAGTTGGATCAAAAGAGGTCTTACATTTGATCTGGAATTGATTTTTGAAACATGTTGTATCTGTTTTAAGGTATTTACAATTTAAGTCCAGGTTGCTGAAATGCCCACTTTACTTTCTGATGTGTAATTGGTACCCTGGGCATCCAGATAACTAGATTATTTTTTGCTACACATGAGTAATCTAGTCCTACAGATCATAACAGATAAGGCAACATCAGTCTTTCCTACCATGTGCAGGAAAGGGACTGATTGGAAAGAGCCCTTTAAACTTTAGTAACGCATAATTCATGCAAACTGATATTCACCCAAAAAATCATGATTTTTGAAAAAGACGACTAGGAAACTGGCGCCATAGAGAAATTCTAAAGCCGCCGTTGGAATTCCAAGTTCTTTGTTGAAAACACTTCCCAAAGGCTCCCGTGTCCAAGGGGCTGCTACCTGGTCACACGAGCAGTCACCTCGAGGCTCAGCCCCGCGGGCTCTTTGGTCTGGGGCTCGGGGCGGCTCCAGGGCAGCCCCGGAGCCCCCAGCAACGTGTCCGTGTCAGCAGAGCCCTGGCCCTGCTATCTGGAAAGGTGGGAGCTGCTCTGGGACTGGTTGGACGACGTCGTGGCTCCGCTGAGCTGGGAAAAGCCACTGTTGCAAGATTCCAGGCTGGACATAGATCCCCTGGGACAGGATGAAAGAGATACAGTTGTTAGTTAGGCAGCTATTTATGGATAAGTGGATATATCAGGAGATGTGGAGCTGGAGATCAGCTTACTCTGCAGTGCTTTGAAAAGCATTTTATTTTGTCCCATCATTTTTCAACTTGGTCTCTAAGAAGCTCACTATTCCTCTTGAATTATGATGAAAAATCATAACTCAGACATCAGGCTTTTTAGGTTTTTTTGCCAGCTACAGGTATTACAGCTTGTCTCCCATGAGACACAACTGGAAGACTCTGGGGCTGCATAGACAGCCCCAGGCCAGAGACATGCAGCTGAAGAGCCCTGCAAATGCAGCACAGCTCCGTGAGTGCGGAGAGGAGCTGCCACAGGTAGCAGGGCAACTCTGGTGTGTGGGCACAGCAGTGCCCCCTCCTGCTTGTCCAACCAGAGCCTTCATGGGCTGCCTGCCCAAGGGGAACTGCACAGGCTCTGGCTGTAACACATTTTGCACAGGCAGAGCAACAGGAAGCAGGTTAGAACGACTGGAGTGAGGAATTTGCTGTTCTCAGTCAATGTGACCTGGGCAAGTCACCTTATTTGCTAAGTCAGCATCTGTCCATCCACAAGCCTAGTCTACCCAACACTTCTTCCAGCTGTTAGCAAGAGCTGCAAGTACTTGCAGAGCGCTCAGATCACCTTGTGATTGATACGAACCATATGTTTTGTGTTAAAGGGGGTTAGACAAACCCTGCAGAAACTGATGTTTCTGTCTATTCAGAAGGCACTTGAGGCCCCAACTACCATCTTTAGACTAGAAATTACTCCAAAGCTTTTCAAACATTCCCAACTAAGATCAAACTTCATCAACCAAAACCTTCTCCCACTTTAGGTATGTGGAAGCAGGAACTAAAACACCAATTCCACTGGTGTATATCCTGCCACAGTGTACCTGCTACAAAGGGAAACCCTTATTACCTGCACCACTATGAGCAGAGTCTTTCTGCAAGATACCATCAAGCTTCTATCAGTCCAGCTTAATATTAATGAAATATTCAACCTCGTGGAAGTGATGGACATTTAGATATTCAATCTTGCAGTCCTTTCAAAGTCCTTTCAAAGGACTTCTCTATTGCAAGTCACAAAATAGAAGGCCCCAATAAATCTCCTACCTGAAGTCCTTGGATGCAAGCACCTCATAGTAGTATATGATCTTGCACTTGTGACTGGAAACTTGCAGAGAGGCAAGGACATCATCCACGCGAGGGAGGCTAGTGCCAGAACAGGGCAGAGGCCCATGCATTTTCCACTGGAGAATGTAAAAGCCAGGCCAGCGAGTCACGTGAGATCCCTCGAAGAAAAGGATAAGGAATGTCATCTTGAGACTACCAGAAGTCTTAAGAAACAGCTGAAGGACTTCACAGAAGTCAAAAGAAACTACTGAACTGAATGGTTTGCAGAGCACATGTTGTTCAATTTTATTTTACACGCCTGAAGCAAGGCCCTGTAAAGAGTACTCCAGTAATTTGCTAGGATGTAAAATCAACACAAGAAGCCAAACACATCTTACCTGGATGCTCTCTCCTTCCCGACAAACCAGTGGGGATTCCATACGGCTGTAATCCACCCCAAGGACCCAAGTCTTATCAATGAGCTGCACGTTGTCACCCACAAGAGAGGTACTTGGTAACGTGGCTTCTTTGCGACTAGTCTCGGGAGCTCGTTTGGAGTGAAAGAGGCTGAACACCACATCTCCCTTCAGGATGTCAAAATCCCAGGTGATCACAGATTCCCCTTCCAAAATCTCTACAACTATCTAAAAAAGAAACAAAAACAAGCACATTTTAAAAAGTTAGGACTCCTAAAGACAGCCAGCATCTTCCTCCATCTTAGGCAAATATGTCTTTCTCTACAATCTTTTAGTTGAGGAATACTCCAGAAGTCTCATCTGTTTTGTAAGAAGTCCAAATAGGCAGCACCAGAGTACTCATCATCCAGGAAGCTAATGGATTGCATTATTAGAGCGCTCTTCAAAGTGCCCTCTTGGACATTCTCTCCTCTAATTACCTTCTACCTTCTTGTACTTGATTACCTTCTTGTACTACCTTCTTTTACCACCACCATCACTGCCCTAGCTGCACCAACAAGAATGGAAGCAGTAGTATCACAGAAGGGAAATGGAGGGAGACTTCATTTGCTCAAAAAAGGAGGAAGAAACTGCACTGTACAGAAGAACCGGTTACTCTACAGATAAGAAGCATTGCTGCTTAAATTACTGTTCTTACCTTCCACACATGCAGCTGTTAGCTAGCCCAGCTCAGCCCTCCCAAGCAGGGTACACTACAGCTGAAACCCAGCACTTGCATTCTGGGACCTGCTCATTGCTCTAGACAGCCTTAAACAGAACACACCGCTGCTACCAGTTAAGTTCCCTCCACTTCAGCTCTATCAAGTTCTGGTTTGTACCTCATGTGGAGCTCCTTTGAGAACACTTGCAGAATGATAGATCGTTTCTGTCCACAACCGGATGTGATCCGAGTTCTCCGTCTCTTCATCTGCTTGGTAGAGGGACTTGGGAACAAGCCCACCTTCTGGGACGTTGCACTGGAAGAGTCAGACACAAATATGAGCAATGAGATTGATCTACTGCTAAAAGTCACCGTACCATGACACTGTATATGGACACCTTCAGTTAGTGTAAGATTTCACAGCTGGACTAAATTCACATGAACTGCAATGATTTTTCTAACATCTAATTCCCTTCTCCAGGGCAGCACCAGCACTTCAATGCAAGGTCATCAGGGGCACAAACTGTTCATAGAGCACTTAGAGRCATCCCAGGCACAGCAGAGATGTAGCTGCCTTTCAGAAAAGGCTGAAAAGTTTTTTGGGGGGAAAAAAGAAAAAAAAAGGACTCTAGGGAGTTTGTACATTGCAGAATCCACCCATGCTACAGCAAGAACCACTCACCACGCAATCTCCTCCCAGGAAGTCTGGGATCACATCTTTGTCCACRTAGTCTACTAGCCCTCCTGGCCCCTGGTAGTTATTCCCACTGTAAATCAGAAATTTCTGCCTTGTGTTCTCATTGATGAAGGGACTAACCTAGAGAAAAATGTAAAAGAAGTTAGCGGTCAACTCACCACAAAAACTACACAAGAAATTTGTCAGGTATGTTTTTATATTGCCAGAACAACAGTGAGCAGGTAGTGCCACATTTATTACTTGTCATTATCTTTCAGCACAAAGTTTAAAAATATTTTGGTGGTTTCCTATCAATGTGGAAATCTATCATGATGGGGCTGCTTTTGAAGATTTATAGTTTAGATAGCACATTTTGTCCTGCTCTGGTGGAATGAAAGTGATGGGAATTGACACGCTGGCTGCTCTATAGCAGTGCTGCAGCCCATCAGGAGCTCAGCCTCCTTACCATAAAGCTTCTCTCCCAAATAAGCAGAACCTGTAAGGACTGGTTGGTTTTAGCTATTCGTAAACACACAAGTTTCCGGGCAGTCCAAATTTCACCTACCAGTGTCCAGAGCACAGGAAAAACCCTGGGAGCTCGCACTATCAGTAGTCTCCCCAGGGTTTCGGGGTAGTTGTCCTCAACAACCTCTATTATCCTCAGCAGGGCCTTAACTCCAGGACGCCAGAGGTGCCGCATATTCAAGCCTTCCAAGTCTACTAGACACGTCCAGGATCTACAGTGAATACATGAAAGGAACTTGTCATAACTTTGCTGCACAGTGACACCTTGGTTTATCATCCATGAAACATTCATTTCAATAAAACCAAGAGCTGCCCAAGAATCTATTTCACTGAGACAAACTAGCAGTTTCAATACAACACAAGTTAGATCTCCACTCAAGCAGCAACATTTTGGTTGACCGGATCCAAAAGCATAAAATGGACAGGAGAAAATGTCAGCAGTGTTCAGGAGGATGAAGATATGCAGGTCCATTACTAAAAATAATTTAGAAGTGCTTTGTGAAGACTRCATTTTAAGATTAAAGTGGAGTCTGACAGACAGTTTTCTGTATTAARAAAGAGAATTTTAGGAACTTGGATTAAAATCACCATGCCAACAAGGTTGAATCCCCTTGGAAGGGGACAGGAAAAGACATAAAATGTAGGAAAGAGTCAACACTTGCTTGCATATGAAGCTGTKAAGTTAATTTGCATGTAATTCCACTATACATGGCTGTATACTCCCAAACACAGGCTGGAACAGTCCGTAAGAGACATATGCAACACTTCTGTCTACAGTTTAACCCTAAGAACATCTTTAAAACCTTCATGGAGACATTATACCCACCATTCCAGTTATACTCTGTAAGGATATAAGAAAACTAACTATACTAACGTGATGGGGCGGCCAAAGAGGTTGGTATTTTCCTCACATCTCTTTTGTCCTTCTTCATTAATTGACAGAACCTGAAATTAAAAATAATATAGACTAGGATTAGCCTGAGTATGACAGAGGGACACGGAGGACTTAGAAATCTTCTTTCAAAGAATATAGAACCCAGAGATAGACCAGTATGAACTCACAGCATGCAAACCAGAAGAAAATTTTATGCAAAATACAACTGCTCTAATGAAAAATAAATTCTGCTGAACATGCAAGGTACAGACACTGAAGTTTATGATGAAATATAAGTCTCAAAACAAGTGTCATGAACTAAGCTGTAGGCCAGGACCCTGGAAAGCTCACAGTTGAGCTGCAAATGATCAGAAAACATCTTTCTGGCACATTTACAGCATTACAACATCTCACTGCAAATTTCCTCTCTGCAGGAAGCAGAGAAGCTATGCCATGCCAAAGGCACTAAACCAAAGCTATAACTTAGAGTTGCCAGCCAGGAACCCAGCAACTATTACTTTGTGTGTCTGGCAGACAGATTCCTGCTGTACTATAACAAATACTTCTAAGTTTCCCAGATGAGAAATGAAGGCAGATCTTACATGTCGCAGTAGAGATTCTTCTCCCAGAGCTTTCACCAAACCTTTTGTGTCCATCTGGCCAAGACGGAGGATATAGAGGGGTCGCCCATCTATAAAAGAAAAAGGTTTAAAAGCAAAATAACTGAACCTGAAATGCCCCAAGCGGGGAAGTTCTTCAGTGAATTTGGAACTGAGAAGGTAGAGAAGAGATATGCAGATAGATTACCATAACCTCAGTCTCACATGACTGATGATATGCATATACCTATGAAAGACGCAGTTTAGAGGAGAAATCAAAGGGCTGTTAGTGCTGTTGACTAGTCAGACAAGTAACCCAAGTAATAAGACATTGTCTGCTCTTTGGTGGTCTCAATCAGTTTCATTTAGTGAGGCCAGGGTAACAGCAACATAATCAGATTGTCTGGAGATAAAATCTGTCCTTCCTCTTCAGGAATRCCTACAGATTAGGCATGAGAAAAGCAGCTTCTACTACAGAGTTGAGTACTACARTCTCCCAGGCTCTCACTCTATAAACTTTTACAAACGTCACATTAAATACCTGAAAATATCATGAAATATCTGATCAAAGAGATGTTTTACACTAACTCAGCCAAATCTGCGCAGAGATAATAAAAAACCTACAGCAAAAAAACTACAGCTATTTATAGGTGTTAAAACTTATCCAGGATAGCACTCTTTGCTCTGTTTATATATGAAAGTTTCAGTGCAGCTTTCTCCAAAAGCCACAGGTTACTTAGGAGGCCTTACAATGCAGACTATGTTGCAGTGCCCATGCAGTGTCTCACCTCTGTCTTGGTAATGCCATCCTCCAGTGTAGTACTCGTCCAGGAGGGCCGGGGGCCTCCACGACTGCAGGATGTAATCCACCTGGTACTGCTTGCGCCACGTCAGGGACTGACAGAGCATCTCTCGAGCTTTGTCGATGTTGAAGTCCCGAGCCCGCAGAAACCGAAGGATATGCTCATCTTTGGGGATCTGCAGGAGAGAAAGTCCACAGGTTAGGACTGGTCCATGGCTTGTACCCCCTAAAATCCGCAGGGAAGCCTGCAAAGCATGCARCAGTCTTTAAACTCATAAAATTATGCAATTTTTAAAGAGATTAAACCTACTTTCCTTCCTTCTCCCTCCCAGCCTGGCTAATCCCGTTCACTGCAGCAGATGGAGCTAGCAACAAGAAACAAGTGACTAATCCCCAAGCCTTCTAGGGATAYGGGCTTGATGTTTATCCGAGCAGGAATTAAGCAGCCTGGGAGAAGGGTGGCCAGACACCCCAGCAGGCAAAGTGCGAGCTGGCCAAACCCTCCCTCCGCTCGCCACCGCAAGGACAAGCAACAAGCCCCAAATCAAAGTAAATAGAGCTGCAAGATTCTAACCCTGCAAATCCACTTGGAAAAGGATGAAGAGCCCCTGGGGCAACATGTTAACCAAGTGAACTGTACTATTAGGCACAGAACATACAGAACTGTACAGTTTTCATAGTGTTTTATTTCAGCTTTTGTGCGGGCTCTTCTGCTTCGTTTTGCTGACCRTTCTTCAGTGGCCCTCTCAGCACAAAAGGTTTCAAGTTCTTCCCTTTGTCTCAGCCATTACAGTTTAACTCTTATTAAAAAGAAACACCACCACACACCCCCAAACATCCACATTTGTGACTACTAATTCCAGCATCACAGACACAAAGYTAAGCCTGTAAAAGTTAACTTGAAGTTAACTTTCAAGTTAAGTYTGCAAAATGATTTATTACAACTTCCTTCCAAGTCTCCCAAGTGTCTCTTTTAATCAAAAAACAAGGAAAAACTGTCACCTAAATATTATGCAGCAGTGATTAACAATAACCCTGGCAGATACCTGAGCAGTGCCAGATTTGACCAGAACTGTGTCAGTGGTGAAAATAACTGATTCTAGCTGCACATGCTCTTGATCTTCACAGCCCCTACACCCCAGGTCCCCAAAATGGGTTTGATCAACAGCCCTATCAGGTTTCCATTAAAAATGCAAGTTGTTCAGAGCAGCAAGAGCCTCCTCCAGACTATTTGTATGGTGTTTAGCACMATGAAAGTGATCCGAGCTGCACTGTAATAGCTGGGGGGGGAGGAGAAAAAAAGCGTGTGCTCAGGAGTCAAAGCTCTTTTGTTTGTTCTCCGACTGCCTTCTCTTCATTACTGATGAAAACACAAAGCAAGGAGGAAAGCAAARGCTCCAGCAGGGTCAGGCCAGGAACAAGCTCGGTTTCACAAGCTGATATGAAGCTGCAAGAGATAATAAGCATCATTTCCATGGAAAGAAAAGGGAGGAGCTCAGTGAGCCTGAAGCCAAAGCCTGGTGTCACCTCAGGAAGAGGTGGGAGATTAATGCTGTTTAACACAACGCTTCATTCTAATGCTTTGCAAATACTGTATTTGCATGTTGTAAATAGGAAAAGGACAAGCTTCCCCAAATCAGATCTCAGATGGATTTGGGAGAATGCCCACAACATTTTTCTGCATTGTGGTAGGATTAAAGACAGCAGAATTTTTATTAGGTGATTTACATCTTCATTTTTGCTTCTCAAAGAAAGCCTTTGTTCACGAGACAGCAGACAAAATCCACAAACATCCTCAACAGCCCTCAGATCTCCTGCTTACAGAAGGGAGAGGGGGTGGCTGTTTTGTTGCTTTCCATGGTTTTCAATCCCAAACTGTATGTAGCTRTTGGTAAGATGCTGTTTTTGTGTGAGACACTTCATATCACTACAAAATCTAGAAATCGAGGGGAAAAAGAAAAATCAACGCTTGGACTTGGACTAAAGGCAGAGAGGTCTGAGTAGACTTGGAAAGTCTCTCCGTTGTCTTTATGCAAAGAAGGCAGTAATTCCCACATGCAAGAATATGAAGTTTTAATTCCAGTCTGTTCTGCTCACTGCTAGAACTACATACGCTTTTCTCCATGGTAGAAAATCACTGACTAGCAGCTTTTAGTTTCAATTTCTTCAAATACACAGATTTTTAAAGCAGTGACAAAGCCAATTATAAAGAGCACTGTGTTTTGGAAGAAAAATGGAACAGACAGTGAAACAGGACAAGAGAAAAGGACAGAAATAAGATGAAAATTTCCCAAGAAACAGATCTACAAATATTCTTGACAGAGCAATAAAGACATGCCTGCTTTGAATTAAAAGAGCARAAAGTCAAAGCAAGATGACAACCTCTGCAGAGAAAACTCAAGTCATGTAGGAAAAGTTTCTGATCTTGCATTATTCTGACAGGCAATCTGCATTTCAAGAGAAGCAAGCGGGCTCAGGATAAAGCCTGAATAAGCCAGCGCCATCCCACTTGCTTGTTCGAGATCACGAAGCCTCCACGAAGGGCACAGTTCTGCTCCCAGCCGTCCCTGGAGCTCCAGCAACCAGCTGCACCCTGGCAAGGMACCCACCTCAGCAAGCAGCGCCCAGCTGAACGAGCTTGTGCACCCTCAGAGCCCTGAGCGCTCTGTGAGCCACTGTCTCACATTGCTTACGTGATCCTTGCTTTGCCTTCCCGGGTTCCATTCCCCTGGCTCTCACCAAGGGAAGGGACGGGGAAGGAAACAGGGAAAAAGAAAAAGAGACATTTGGTGTGTGCTTCTTCAAACTGGTATTGGGAGCYTTACAGATCAGAAGTGTGGATAAAGGCCAGCGGTCTCACCCTCAACTAAGCCTTCAAGGAAGTCAATCTGCATCAGCAGTTTTCAGAGAAGTTTAGTTTGCTTTGGGTTAAATTTGTTGAAATCAGCCCTATGTCCCTTTACCTAGGATTGATCCCTGCCCTGTTGTCCGGGATCAAAGGGAATTTATTTCAATTCCCTTGTCCCAGACAGAGAATCGAATCACAGGACACACAGATCACAAGCAATATTCAGTATAGCACCTTTTATTGGTTATGCTGCTATTAGTGACAGACARCCACTCACACAGCTCACCAAACATGCTCATGGATGGGAGGCCAGCCCCAGCTGTGTGCTCAGAGGCCCAGCACCACACGGGCTCATTGGCAGGYAGGTGTTCAGAAAGCCCCAAGGGTCCTTTCTCAGCCCGTGTTACATRTAGTCCTGTAGTCTCACCTGCCCAAACAGCTACTGCCTCTTGGACACAGTCCAAACGCAACCTATTGCTGATGCTAGTGCAAGCTGGTGGCCTTGGACATGTCTGGCAGACCCTTGATGTTCTCAATTTATCAGCTCTTGCAGATTCAACAGCACAACTAGTCTCCAAAGCTCATCGGCTCTTAGGAGACACACTATTTTGCAGCACATTTTTCCTCTCTTTAACCTGTTCTCTGCTGTTTCTCCATTAATAAATACCCACAGAATCCACACACACAGACAGGGACTTAATGAGGCGCTTAGAAGTTCACAGGCAGCAGAACTGCAGCACTAAGTCTTTGCTACATTTTTTATTTCTGAATAAGTGATGCGCATTAGTTTCCCCAAGGAGAGAGGTCTTTAAAAGTGTTTAAATCCTTTATAATCATAGATGATACACTCACGCCCTCTCTCAGCTCTGAGCCAAATACAGCAAGACATGCAGAAAGTACGGGCAATACTCTTTGCAAATAACAGTTACTTTTGCAGAGGACAGTTAGCAAAAAAAAAAACTGAGGCCATGAAAGCTAAGTGGCTCCTGGCCCATTCTGTGCAACTGTGAACAGTTACCCCTACACCAAAAAACTATTACTAGAGAAACCTTACCTAGCTGTGGGCCCTTTTCAAGAAGTATCAATTGCTTCAGCTTTCTTCTGTTTTCCTCTCTTCCCAAGCATTCAGTTGGGTGGGCATATCCAGCTCACCCAATTATACCTCTCTTCCTTCCCACACAACCTTTCTACATCAGGAAACTTGAGGGTGAAGATCAGAGGGTAAAGATCTGTGAAGATACTCACGCTGCTTTAGGCTTTTCTCAGCCACATATCACTTATCTCTTGGTCTTACACATAGACTGCCCTTAGACTGGAAAGGAACCGCTGAATGTTACAGAAGCAGCAAAGTTACAATTGGGTCAAAGAATCCATGCTGCTTTTCTAGGAAGAATATTTCCTCCTGTTGGCTGGTCCCGGTTGTACTTGGCCCAAAATAGTGCCCTCAGCTCCTCTAACTTACAGACTTGCTCAATGTATCTCAAATATTTCAAACCATGAAATAGAAATAAGGCGGTCTCCTCAAGTTCTGCGTGTTTTTGACATTGCAAATTTTGATAGAGGAGATTAAAATAAGATCAGGATTAATTCTCTTAAAAAACATCAGCCTTTGATTGTACAAGTCTACGCTGTCTGCCTGGTATAGCACACACAGCTTAGTGCTGACATGCACTAGCTGAGAGAGGTGCTGCTGCCTGCTTCTAACAAGCAGCACCTGCCAGAGACAGGAGATGCCACATCAGAGCCCCTAGCCATTTCTCCCACTCCACCCTACATATCCCAGGAAGGAATCCACCTGGATGGTCCACTCTGGACAAAGGATTGATCAATGTCTACCCTAAACATACTGCAGAAGCAGTGTACTGTAGGAGTCATGCTACCTTTCAACACTGACAGGACCGAACTGGAGCATGCAGGTGCAGTCACCATCCTGCTGCAGCACCCACCAGGCAGGCTCCAAGCCAGGCCTTCTGCCTAACCTTGCCAAAGCAGTGAAGCCTCTACACAAATTATCTGTGATTCTCAGTCTTATAGGGGGGGAACTGAAGGCATACAGGCTATGAGAACAACGTTGGGGTTGCCAAAGGGGCTGTTTTGCCTCACGTACCCACCTTGCCTTTGTGYGTTTCTTGAAGCCACTGGCGAAGGCGGATCAAGCAGCTCTCCTGCATGGGAGTCAGCTGGCCCAGGTACCGCTCGATGTAATCGGCGTCCAGTTTGTCAGCTGGAGAAACAGAAGCACCCAGAGGATTGGCAAAAACACAAGGGGAACTTGGGGCACGTGGTTAGTTCCACACAACAGGTTATTTATGATTTACACTGGAGGGMCATGGAAGCCCTACTTGTCCTGAGGGGGAAGAGAACAGGTGAAAGCAATCTCATGGTGATGAGGGCATGAGGACACAGCGTGTAGTTACCAAAGCATGATCACTCTAAGAGGGCAAATATTTCATTTGGCCTTGACCTGTGCAAGCAGGAGCTTTCCAATAAATACCTTCARCCTGGCACTCATCTCTCAACTTCAGGCTCTGGGCATCAAAATCCCTTGATGTCCTAAAATTCTCATTACTCACTATTCCAACAGCAAGAGGCTAAAAACAGCCATCTGAAAACTAAAATGCTATTCTGCTTATGGACACCAGAGGGATAGGGTGAATAAAGCCAGCAACTGAGACAGCAAGGGAGACTTTTGTCATGAGGAAGTTCTGTGTGCCCCAGCAGCTCAAAGTCTCCCCAGATCAGAGACCAAGGACAAGCTCTGCCAACACCCAGAGACAGAAGCACATGGGCTCTCAGACACTTGTATGGGCAGATGCACCTCAAGAGAATGTGGCAGTGACAGAGAAGCAGACACAATCCTCTAGCTGTGCAGGAGACACCCACAGGACCACARAGAGAAGGAGCTCTGAGCTAGCTCCACATCCAACAGGATATTCTTCTCAGTAGATAACATTAGATATAGAACAAGGACTGGACATCCACAGGACACRCTGCTGCTGGCTGATAATACTGAAATTATATTTGGTAAGCTCCGTTTCCCCACAGAATCTATAGAGCTAGCAAGCTGAGGAGCAAACCCAGGGAATTTAATCAGTTTACAGGCATGAATRTAAGCAGAATGAGCGCAGATGCTCTTTCTCTTCTGCTAGATGAAATCTACCACTCTTAAATTAACTTTAATCTGAAGATCTCAAAGCATGTGAACATTCCTTATACTCACAGTTCCTCTGTGGATTTGAATCATTTTACAGACTGTTTCCCAGAGACTAGAAATGGTAAGAATCCCACACTCCATGCTTTTTCCCTAGGTACAGTCAAGTAAAGYAGGTGCTATCTTTGCTGCTTCTGAGTAATGACAACTTCTGTTCAGTGTCATAGTTCTCACTACATTAAGATGACTCCCTATTTTTTACCCTCGATATGAGAATTTTATTTTGTCTGGAAGATATCCTCAGCTCAACACAAAGAAAGATAAAGCTTTGTTTGGGCATTTGGGGTGCGAAACAAATTAGGTCCAAATCCCAAGAACGTTAATTGTGAAAGAGTCAAAATCATAYGGTAATTATTTTGTTCTCAAGATATTTTAAGGTTTCTTCAAARTACAAACTAAAGAGCAGATCAGTGGTGTTTTCTCAGCTCAAACAAAACATACTATTTGCTTTTTCCTGTCTTTTCAAGTCTGTTTTTTTCCCTTGGCTTTTCAGCTGGGATTGTTGGGGGGGGGACTTGTTTATTTTTGTTGAAGAAAAAAATATAACTTCCTCTCCTCCCTGTCCACAATCTAGAAGAAAAAACACTCATGTCAATAAATAAATAAATAAATAAATAAACCGTTTAGTCACACAGTGCTACTGAAGGCGTTTAGACTGCCCGTTTCTGCTCCTGCCTGGGCATCACATACCATCGGGACTGACTGCCTCTGCCGGAGGGCAGGAATTGCCAGCTTGCTCCTTGGCAGCTCCGCGAGCCCCGCACTCGACGGCGCCGTCRTCGACGTGGGCTCCAGCAGCCAGGGCCTGCTCGTCCTTCTGCCCGCTCTCTGGGGGAGGTGTCCACCGCGGGATGAACGTGATACCCTGCGAGATCAGCTCCTTCAGATAGTGCTCGATCACTTCCTTGCCCTGGAGGGGAAAACTCTTATTAATAARAATACTACAACCCCGTTGCATTGAAGATCTGCAAGGAGCAGGAAGAGTTTAACAGCTTCCATCTGCATGAGCCTGCGGAAAAAAAAAAWTATATGGTGCTTTCACACTGGAAAATGGCCAGATACAAGCAGACAAGCAACTCCAGTGCTATGGATTCAGCTACCTTTCTAACACTTTTATTCTGGTCTCCTACTCTCAGTGCATCAGTTTGCTGCGTTGTTCCTCTGCAGCCCAGGGGAAAGGGCTACCAAAGGAAAGAGCCTCTCCCACAAGCTATTGGGAGGCAAAGTGCTTATTTTTCCCCCAAACTCCCCTATTTGAGAACAGTGTCCTCAGTGCCTGGCACCACAGCATCCACGGCAGCCCTCCGCTGGTACCGCCTGCTCCCTCCTCTGCACAGAGGCATCCGCTGGGCACATTGTTTTTGTTCCCTGCACACTGCCTCCGGTTCTGTTGCTTTGGCTGTTTTTACTTTTCGTTTTTCCTACTGAGCTACTTCAGAAACAAGCTAGACAAAGCAAAATTATAAAGCTACACGGGGTCTGTTTCACAGAAACCGAAACTCGAGGCACATCGACAGCAGGCACTCGCGTTAACGTTGTGGCACAGGGGAAGCCCATCTTACCCGTTTGATGTTTGACGTGTATTGCTTCATGGCAATTTTTTCCACCGTGCTTTCAAAGCCGAAGAATGACTTGATGTCAAGAGATGCAGACTGTTCAAAGCAAGTCCAGTCTTCATTCTCAGGATGTACCTAAGCCCAAAGATACACACAGGGTTGGAGAACAGCAGAGAACTTGGGTTATGGCAGGGCCCTGGCTGCTGCTACCCATTTTGCTGTTCATCCTCCAGAGCTACAGACTGAGGGATCAGAAGAGGCTTCCTATGAGCTTCTGAGAGATCTACTTTTAGCATCCAGACTATTTCTCCCTGAATAACACATCAGGAACTGGAGGAACATTCGTGGTTAAAACTGCATATTCTTCATACACTAGGAAATTAAAACCCCCTCTCTGCCTGGCACACCTAAACAGYAGTATCAGTCTGTTGCACGAATTGAGCTAAAATAGTAGCTAGCCTGCCAACTTGAAACCATCCTACCAGTGCTCCTTATGGAAAGATAGGCACTGCCTCACAAAGTCTGCAGTTAAAAATAAATAAAGAAAATCCCTCCATCACTCCAAAGAATCATAGAACAAATTTTCTTAATTTGGACAAGAAACCCAGCCCAAGAATGCTGGTCTTCCCGCCAAAGCACAGAAAATGCATGGCAGACCAGTCACTTCYAAGTTCATCCTCTCTTTCTAGCCATTTCCTCACAGTTACTTTAGGTACAGTAAGAATTAGAGTAACCTTCCCCTCTTCTAAACTAACTCTTTTCTAACCTTTGCTCTGTTGATTCTACTATTCACAAACTGACATGAAAGGGGAAAAAAAAAAAAAAAAATCCAGCTTCTGCCTGCAACCCTGCCAAAAGATATAGTGAGCTCTACCAGGGACACAAATTGCCCTGGGGAAAAATTAAGCAGCTGTAAGAGCAGGATCATATTGCCCCAGGTTGCTTCAGGGAACACTGCAGAAGTAGGAACACGAGAATAAACCTGTTTCCGGTGCCTTCTRGCAAGGAAAAGGAAACTAGTAAAAATAGTCCATGGAAACATCTTGAGGATGCAGGCAGCTAAACCCTGTTCCAGGAAGAGCCCTCCCCTTGTGAGCAGAGCTGGTGACATTTCCTTGTGAGGGACACGGGCCGGAAGCGACAGAGTCCAGAGCAGCAAGTGCAGCAAAGCCGGAACAATTCCCGAGGCGGCCTGGCCACGTTTCAGAACCGTCACCACGTGACGGAAGTTGGACCTACAGTAATTTCTGGGATGCTCCACGTGGACACGCAGCAATCACGGCCTCAGGAGCTCTGCTTCTCAAAAGGTTAATAGCTTTTCAGCTATGTGGTTTCCTTCAAACAGAAGCTACTTACAGTTTGCTTCCTTCTAAGAAGCTGAGCTGTTGTCCAATTGCTAAAAGGGCAGGTAAGTAACGGGATCTGGTCTTTTGTTTAGGGAACAAAAGCAATATCTGACTGTCTCCAGGAACTAGGCTATTTAACGGTGGCTGAACCCCAATAGCCCAGATACAGTGACATGGCACAACGCTGCCTAAGACGGGGCCATAAAGTGAAACGTTCCAGGCCACAAGTAATGCTCAATATCTGCATCCAACTGTTTAGAACAGAAACAGTGTGACAACCTCTTAAAACATGCACTTACCTGCAGATAAAAAGCAAAGCTAATTGCCAGACTTCTATCCACACCACATCTCCTATTGCAACAAACACCTTGGGCTTCCTTCTAAATACTCACATCTAAATACCATTTCTAAGCTCCAGAAGTTATTAACTTGAGTTCCAACCATTTTTTCCTACTTTTACATGAGAACATAACATTCCAGTCAACCCAAGAAGTGTCTTGGTATCTAGGAAAACCTTGGAAAAGCTTCTCTCTTACAGACCCAAAGACCTTCCAAGCCCAAGAGCCTCCCATTGTAGCATGCTACAGCCCAGTGTTCAAACTCATTCAAGCAACTTCACCTTGTATGTTAGCACATAACTTGCAAGGCTTCCTTCACAAACAAATAGAAAAAATAAAACCCCACACTTACTGAGTAGCTACACGTCTCAAGGACGACGACACGGTTGGCAAAAGTCTCATTGTGGGCTTCAATGCGGAGAGTTCGTTCTTTCCAGTTCACTGTGTTTTTCTGGATGAAGAAAACATACTCTACCCCTGCAATCTGAGAAGGATGAAGAAACAAACATGGAAAGATAGAGGGCAAGGGAAAAAAAAAAAAATCAGAAATCAACCCTTTGCAAGCTTAGGAGTAAAGGCTACTGCCTTAGAGCCTTTACTAATCTGTGCTGGCCAACAAATCCCAACACTTTGTGCCCCTAGATTTTGCTTGCCTTCTTTAGCAGCCTAGGAGCATCCACATTGAGTTTGCAGCTCCGTTCGATGATATGTATAGCTCCATCATCACTCCTGGATTCATGCAGGATTTCACTCCCCAGGAAGACTGGAATCTCTGGACACGTAGGAAAGCGTTTTTCATATGCCTGGAAGTAAAAACAGAGCAAGTTTCAGCTTCTGGACAGATCCATCTTAATTCCTTCTCAATTTATGAGTTGCCTTGCAGCAAAGTTCCAACAAAACAAGTTTTCACCTCTTAGAAAAGAGGGCTAATGCAGAGAGAGAAGTGAAAGCAAAATAGCCATGAACAGCACTGGCTTTTGCTCCTCTCAGTCATCAAGCTGAGCATGCCTTAACACAGCTTTCCTTTCACACAGGAAGCAGAAAGGAAAGGTTGATATTAAAGAATATTAGTTGGGGAATCAAAAATTTAAACGCCACAACCAAGGCCTTCRCCTAGCATAATGTCTGCTAGCTTAAGGCTAAAACCAGAGATAGCAAATTTTAAGTCAGACATGTTGCCTGGATGAAGAAGCTRTTTTAAATAAAACATATAACAAGCACATCCCTTTAACGTGTGGAGGTAAGAGCCAGTCCTGACTATCCAGCACAAGACTGCCAATTCCAGACTACACTGATTGCTTTGATTCACCTGCTTCTACAATGACTCTGTCCTGGATCTGAAACCTTCCTCGTTTTCACTGACGAACATTCACTTGAAAACATAAACCCCAGTGCTCCAGGACACTTGCAGCAAATCAAGTTAAGTTGCGTGTTACTTAACTGTTGCTTCCCCTCAACTTCTCCCTACTTGCCCATCTCATTTGCAAGATCAATTGCAGGATCTTTGGAGGATTAAATGCTTTCATTGAATTTCTGAAGTGTCTGACATATCACRATATTAGGATGTTATTATAAGTATATAATTAAGGCAAGTCCAGCACACGCTGCATAAGCCTTACCCGTCACCAGAGCAGTCTCGGAGCCTGGTGGCCCCAGTACATGCCCGTGCCCCTGCTGCTGGGAATGCCATCTGCTCTTAAAATGGCTCAGGCACTTAAGGACACATTCCAGGTCTCCTTTTCCTAGATCTCCAAATGGAACAGAAGTTCTCAAGTTATCGCATTGCTCTGGTATCCAGGGCAGGATGCAAGCAGTGACCACCAACTGAAATACAGGCCATAAACAAAGTCTTTAAGCCATCCTCCCCATCACTGAGCAAACTTCTGCCCRCTTGGCCACGTTTGTCGGACAACTTTTGGTGCATCTGGATGGCCCCTTTCAAAAGCCCTAAAGCAAATGTTAGGTAAATATAAAGCTTCCAAAGGCAAATGACTATTTCCAACACCTGGATGCCTATGACAAAAATCAAACTCATTGCTTTAAGAAACTTGTCACAAGGGAAACTCATGGAGCGATATCAGGCACTGCTGAAGGATGCTCCCAGATTCCCAGTAAACTGCACTTTTTCAAGGATGACAGAGCAAAAGTTATTAACTTGCTCYGAGGTCTGCAAGTGCCAGCAAATTAATCTTCTCAAAGCAAAACTAATACTCCTCACCTGCCCYTCCACCTGCCCTCTCCCAAGCCGCCATTCTCCAAACCAGCAGTTTCTGCKGGCTCCAGGTGCTTTCTCCTGTGATGACTCACAGGTAAGAGTCTCTGCAGACCTCCCACACTCTGCACTCTCGGTCACTACAGCCTCAGTGTCCGGAAAGTGGAAGTTGTGACACCCTGGCAGGCTACTAGGATACCAGAATACTTGGCAACTGTTTTCAGCTATTTGTCCCACGCCACTCCTTGCACACACCCATAATACTCCTGCCAAAAGCAAACTGGAAACCCTATCCCAAAAGAACACCTTCCCACTTAATCCTCCGATCTCAGAAAACAGCAGTTACCATAGAACCTAGAAAACACCTCAAATGGCAGGAGGTTGGAATAAGAACARTCCTAGGATTGTCCACATAACATATTAAGCCTGTCTGCCTGTTGGCAGAGAAACAAGATCTGTTCTTCTAACAGGACACAACGATGAGYAAAGGCCTCACTTCACTTGCACCCAAAGTGCTGAATTTGAAGAGCCTCCTCTCAACTGAAAGGCAACATTACAGACATCAAGTCCCATACTACTGATTATCACATGTGCATGTCTGATTCTGAAGATAAAACTGCTAGTTCTCAAAACAGAGCTGCTTCTGYCTCCTCTAAAACCAGTTAAGGAACTGAGGGACACATCAATGCACAGCTCTAGTGATTCAACCAAGAAAACTATCAAATCCCCACACCTAAATGGGCAGAGGCTGTTTCCATATTTGAAAAAATTCCTTTCACACATTGCTGTTAAGCCCTTTGCTAATCTTCCTCATTCAACAGCAAAATGTTGAATCTAAAAATACGGCAGGTCGAAATGGCCAGGATCACAAGGAGGCAGCTGAAATGCCACATTTCACAYAGTGAAGCTGGACCCATCTTTAATCCCTGAAGAGACTGAGCTAATGAGAGACACAGCCCGCCTCCTGCACCCACCATCCTTTATCAGGATCAGCATCTGTACAGTACAGTCCTGCTCCAACAGCAAAATTGTTGGAAATTATCAGGAAGGGTCTTGGAAGCCACCAGTCAAAATTGGCCATTTTTCTCTTCTCTGATTGTSTGAGGTGAACGATAGAATATCCGAGTCAAATGAAAGGCAAAGGGGACTTAACATGAACCTGTTTTAACGCTTCAGCAGCTAATCTGCCTGCATTTGCCCTTTCATCCCCTGGCTGCGGTGACTCTGCACTGACTAGTATTCAGGAACCAAGAGAGCAGTTTTTGTCTCTTTGCTACCATTTAGTTTTTATTTTTTAAATATATAAGCTGCTTTTCTTCATGGGGAACCCTGGAAGAACTTATGGTTCTTATGGTTGGACTCAATGGTCTTTTCCAACCATAATGATTCTAGGATTTGTCTCTCCCATCTGCAACAACCCCACCACTTCCCCAGAAACAAGTGCAGCAGGATCATATTCTTTCTCTTTCCAAAGCCCATGCCCGCAAGGTCTCTTAAAGCTTGATGCCTGAAGTCTTGAGCAGAATCAAATGTATTTGACCAGAATTAAACGATGTTTCACTTTTAAAATTGAAATGAGGCAAGAAAAAAAAAAATCATACAAGACTCAAAGCTTTGACAGTGTCAAGGGAAGGTGAGAGGGGAAAGCTGTGCACAGGCAACAGGCAGCTTTATAGAAATGCACACACCAGGGTGACCTGCATGGCTATTTCCAAAGCACCTCAGTCCCCAGCTGATGGAAGCCACGTGGCTGGAGAGCAGGAGGATGCCTGAAACCCCACAGGGTGCTGGGGAAGGGCAACACACAGCTTCATGCCATAAGCAAGATTAAAGGCAGCACAGACATGGCCTTCTGCACTGCTTACAAGATGACCTCTACATCTCAGTCAAGTTAGTGCCACGGGAGCTGACAGCCGATTAACCACACGGTTAATCRGCTGGGATGTGCTCGACTTTAATCAGTGAAGAGATTTGACTGCGGGTTTGCCAGGGAATAACAAGGTTTGGCCACAATCCGCTGGGAAACGTCTGCAGAAGGCAGTGTTACCTGTGCTGGCCAGCAAGATTATGGGACCAACATGCTCAGAGCCAAAAACATGACAGGATATGCTGCAAGAACAGAGCATTTGARGGCAACAGGAGGAAGCTACACTTAAAATGCATCCTGATCACAATAACCAGTTTAAAAGAAAYGCATCTGTGACAGCAGATTGCCCTGAAGGTCAACTGGATGCCAAAAAAAATGTTATACAAATGCATGAGTGCCAAAAATAGAGAACATGACATTCTAAAGCCTCACAACCACAGAGAAAAGTGAAGATTATCCTGCTTTACCCTTTGTCCACCTCTTTCCTGCTTATCCACCTTGCTCCAAAGCACAGAGGTCCTTCAGCTTCACTGTATCTGGGGGTTACACGTATCAACAGTACAAGAACGTCCCTGCTCCCCTCTCCAGTTGGATCTCCAGCAGTTTGACAGTGGCTGTAATGTTCTTGCTTCATGCACAATCCACTGAACTACAACACATGGCCGGAGGTGAAGATTTTATAACAGCTACTCCTGTTTCTTCTCCGTGGGTTTCAACAACCTTTCTGGCAAGTGACCTTGAAACCAGTTACACAACAGGGACCTCAAGAACTCAAAACAACAAGGAAGTCCAAGCAGTGAATTACCACGTGAAACCAAACACCTCTAAATCTGAACTTCCCTGCAAATACACAGACTGCTGGCATTTTATTCCAGCCCACTGCCTGCTAGGTCTCGAGTGGCTCCAATGTGCTCCAGCAAGACACAGCTCAAGTTAGATTATCTAGTTCCGTATCGTAATATCCTGGAGGAAAGGTTACCCTCTTTGTTCAGGGAAGAAAACTGAAGTGGAAGATACAGGGAGTCAAGCACAGCCTGCCCACTAACACGACACCCAGGGCAGCGGGTCTGCCTTTCTCACCCCACCAGGCATCTTTCTAGCACAGACTTTGCAAGCTTCCCACTAGCATTCAGCAAAAAGGTAACTGGTTTGGAGCTTCCCTACCAGCAATCTAGATGAAGGTCCTTGGAGACAGCTGGCAGCACRGAGAGGTGCTGTTGGAGATGCAGGCAGGAGCCCAGAAGTGGAAAAAAGTATGGACGGATTCCTATATGCCAAGCTGAACTCAAGGGGGATCTTCAGGCATGTAAAAACTCAGTTACAGTGGAATAAATGATACTGAATAGAAGACATGAAGGAGCTAARCTATTATTCATTTGATGTAGACAGAGGCTGCCATGCTTAATATTATATGAGTAGGTTCAAGTAATAAACTTCACCCTTGGGCTAAGAGTTGAGACACTTCAAGCAGTCCTGACGGAACAGAGTTTAAATTTGTATTAATTAACAAGATTCCTCAGGGCTGTGTTACAGTCACGTGCAATTTGTCAGGATAAAGGAAGAACACGCAACTCTGTGTTCAGGTGGAGAGAGAAAGAAGAGAGGAAAATACCAAGTTTTCAGTTCAAGATGCCCAAATCATCATTCCAGATCATCATCCCTTTGCAAAGAGATGACTAAGGAACAAGAGGAGACTTCTTATCATTACTAGGTAGAAGTGGATGGATTTTGCCCAGCTCTAATAATACATAAATCTGACTCCTCTCTCTTCCTCCTTCCACCCACTCCCTCCCAATTCAGGTGCTTTCAGAGTGTGGCCTTCCAAGGAGCAGCCATTTCATCCAGAATTCCCTTCCACTACTAGTCCAAGTGTGGAAGAGAAACACAAGGTCTGCATTTGCATTCACCAGATCTAATACCCCATTCCCTCCATAGCAGCTAGAGCAGATACCTGTTTCTTGGCAGCCACAGGCAGCACAGAACAAAATACACATAGAACAATTGGGAGCAGGGTGGGGAGGGATCAAACAGGTTATTTYGGGTGTAAAAACGCACACAAGTCAAGGGAATAGAAACACTTTTAAGGAGACTTAAAGTAGCTGCTGAATTGCATAAAATTGGGAGGGGGAATGAGAAAAATACCTCTGCTGGGAAAAAGAAAAAGGCCGCTAGCCCTCAGAACCCTAGATATAAACACTGACCTAGTGTGGCCTCTGCCTGGACCGCAGCCAGTAATCTGCCTCATTTCTTCAGATTTGGTGAAAGAACCAATTCAGAGAGCACCAGCTGGTGGTTACAATACAAGCCCGAGCGAGTGACACAGCGAACGTACTGCAAGCAGGACCCGCACCGCAGCTGCACGTGGCGAGCTCGGCAAGTCACCAACACGCCTGCTTTTTTCCTGCCTGAAAAAAGAAAATAAAAATTCTGTTCGAGCCATCCCGCTAGAGCCTTCTCCTTGACTCACTGGAGAGGAGAAACTCAGGGAGCAGCTCAAGCACCACAGGATGTACTGGCCTTTATAAATACCCACGGCAATTATGCCTTATGATACACCCCATGGCAGGAAGGGCTGCCACCTGCATAGTCCACGGTGGGTAGGGGCACTGAACAAGGCACTGAAGCAGCACCTCAGGTAACCACAACCTTAAGAGCAAAGCACAACAAGGCAGCATTACACCAAGCTCATAGTGCCCAGTGAACTGCCCCAGATCTAAGAGGCTGACTCAGAGTAGTCCCTGGTGCTCAGTAGAATCATCTCACAGCTACAAGCTGCAGGACAGGCCACTGAGCTGATAAATTTAAAACAACAAAACCAAAGCAACACCCCAGGCCCACCTGCATTTCCCTGAATATCTATTGAGCAGGAATAGGGTGAGGGTGGAGAGAGATTTGGAGGTCTTCCAAACCCACCTGGATGCCACCCTGTGCCACGTGCTCCAAGTGTCCCTGCTTGAGCAGAGGGGGTYGGACTAGATGATCTCTAGAGGTCCCTTCCAACCTCAACCACTCTGTGATTAAACAGACCCTTTGTGCTACCAATGTGCTAGATGTGACAAGAAGCAGTCATCAAATCAAGCTTAAAAATCTAACATGATACGTGCTAGTGCTGAAAAGGCATCAGTAAAAGTCATTTTGGAAAGGCAAACAGAAAGAAGCTCTAATTGCCAGGTCCTGTAATACAGGGTTYGGAGATAATCTCCCTACAGCTGATCCTGACAGCTAGCCTAGCAAGAAGCTGCTTTCATGGTCTATGTGAGACCCATACTGCTTTTGGCATAAAAGAATATAGACAATATGTTAAAATAAGAAGATACAATTAAAATAAAGATGTATTAGATGTTTAATTCTTGCATGTATGTGAAAATATATAAAGTATGTCAAAGTGACAAATTGTATCAATTGCAAGYGTTAAAAGGTTAAGAGCACTACTGAAATTAATGGGGAACCAACTCCCATATTTGYGTCACTGTTTAAAGCTATTTTATCTGACCTAATAATTCATTGGCAACAAATGATATCAAAAATGCAAGCCTAGCTCTCTTTCCTATATGAATATGCATTTTGGACTTGCTTGTCCAATCTAATGCCTTATCTCCCTATGTCAGAGAGAGCTCACTAAAATTTGCATCATTGAGAACAAGTTATGGCTCACAAGCTACTCGGCAGAAATATCCCTCCTTCCGGATTTGTCTCTCTTTATAACATTTTTAGTATAAAACTTCACTTTAAAACTGCACCACAGATACTATATCCTCCAAAAAAAACAAGAAGTGTGTTGGCATTTGGGAAATACYGCAGTCTCAAGTAAAAAAATCAGGAGAGGAGAGGTGCAGTCTTAAACTTGCTGATCTAAATGAAGAGAACATAAGATCAGGTCCTGGGAGGCATGAACTTGGCTGGAGAACTCATTTGAGAAGAGCTGCAATTAAAAGGAAAGAAGAAAAAAAAAAAAAAAAAAGGAAATTAAATTGAAAGGAAAACCATGAAAACATGAAGCATAACAAAAGTCAAGTTGTTTTCAAGTATATGGGGGAAGATATCAGGCATTGGTTATAATTTGAGAAGTTTAACATTCTCATTAACATTTAGTCTGAATGCAAGTTAGGAACATTTGGATGGGCATGGAAAGATTATCTTTTGTTCAAAAAAAAAAAAAGCAGGAAAAAACCTTCAGAATTCCTAAATGGTCAGAAGAAACAGAGTGCTAAATTGATTCCTTTTTACAGCCCCAGCTGCACAGTAGCAGCAAAGACACCAAGAAGGGATGTGATATGAAAGACTGGGAAGATAATGTCAAATCTACAGCCTGTCAAAGTCAGAATGTGAGCTGCAAAACTATTAGCAGAGCATAAATTCATAGACATTTATCCAGAGACCCACTCTAACTAAAGTAAAAGCACCGGCYCATCTGCTGGGCACAGCTCTGTGCAGACCCAAGGATGGGCTGCCCGGACCTGTGCTTTCAAGCAGCCCACTAGATAAATCACGTTCCTGATGGCTGGGTTCAAGGAAAGGCATGGGAAACACYGTGTGCTTTAACGTGGCCAGGATGCAAGGGGCTGCCTGGCTCATTTGGCTGCAAAGATCCTGTTTCTCACACCCTTATAATGGAGCGAGATTCACACACTACCTGCCACAATGGGACCCAAACACCAGAGATACTGGGGGAAAATGCTTTTTCTAACGCATCCCTCAAAACACACAGCCTGAACAGACCACTGAAAATAAAACGACTCTCCCCACTATACCGATGTCAAGCACAGGAATACAATGCCAAAGAGGTCACAGGGACAAGTAAAATTATGCAGTGTCTTGAGGTCACCCACACAACCTTAGGGTCCTCCCATAAACCACGGTACGAGATCGCTACACTGCAAAGGTTCACAGGAAGCAACGGAGGAGGAAAGTTGAAGGCAGCTGAACGCCAGATTTGCAGCACTGAGGAAGCTGCTGTCAGATTTCTGGTGAAGCAGCTTAGCAGCAATACCACGTGCTGAGGAGCCAGCAGCCTCGCTGCTCGCCCACGCTCCATGGGAAACTTCCAGCGAGTGACAGGCAGCACTTGACAGCTCGGAGAAATCCGCGCTGCCTCCACACGGAGGGAAGGCTCCATCTGAACCCACTGAATAAACCCGTGTTGAGCTCAGCCTGCACAAACTGCCACTGGATTTGGACACTACTGTCCTCACAGTATTTAAACATTGGTATTCATAATAAAAAATAGTCCTGAGGTGAACAGTGTATCACAGGACGCTGCAGTGGGACTAATGGGTCTATATTCAGTTCCTTAATCCACCACAACAGGCMTTTGGGTGACCTTAGGCAAGTAACAATCTGCATAAGAAAGAACTAATGCTTTTGCTAAGGTAGTAGGAGTTTGAGTTTGCTCAGCACCAAAAAGATGACATTTATAACGCCAGCCTTGAAGCTCCAGGGAGCTGAGAGCTCTTCCATGTCAAAGAGTCAAAACTGACAGCAAATAAACTGAAATCAATTAAAATTCAATGACGTGAAAAATAAACTCATCAAACCCTGGCCTTTAGGTATTCTGCTAACGAGCTTACAAAGGATTTGTCTAGAGGCAACCCACCCCTCCTGTATTAGCAGCCAATCTATTGTTGGGCATCTGGTGTTAGGGTTATCCTACTAATACAGACAGGAGTGCGGAGAGCTATGTATACAGCAAGGTATATATCTGTATAACAAGCCTTGCTAGCTTGTTCTAAKACGGGCCACACTAAGACAGCAAAGAACAGAGCCAGGAAAGTTTCCCTACCACAAGCAGGTCRGGTGAATCCAGACATGCAGCCAGCTACTGCTTAGCTCTTAAACCAGCACCGCAAATTCAGACAAGACTCGGAAAAGGTGATGGAAAAAAAAGGGGAGAGGAGGGAAACTCAAGCATCAAAGTATTCATTTTTATAATCAGAAAGTATTAACGTGAACRGCAACTGCTCGTCTCTTTTGGAAACTATAAAATGGGACAGAGCAGGATGATGTTTTCAAAAATTTCTCATTTCGAACAAAATGGGAGTTCAGYRTGATTGCAAATTGAATTCTAGATAGAGCTATCCTGCCATATTGACTGGAATGAAGAAAAATTTGAGATTCTAGACAGAATGGTGTTTTGTGATAATGCAGTGTCTGATCCCAGTTAAACAAACTGTTTAACTCCATTCACCTAAACATTACATATTTTCCTTTCTTGTGACAGTACTCCTACGTTATGGAAGCTGTACTCCTCCTGGAAGTTATGTTAAACTATTAAAATATTTACATGTTTATTCTGATTTCTCACTTTTTTCAAGAATTGAACAAACGTTTGAAGACAACAAGAACTAAACATCTGTTCCCACAACGTGCCCCTAAGATTGCCACAAAGACACACCAGCCAAAAYTGCAGCTCCCCACCTCCCACTGCCATATATCCACCAAGACAGAGGCTGCAGCCCTTTGCTGCAGGAGAAGTAGAAGTGCTGAGTGTTACTCACTGCCATGACGAGCTCAAAAGGGTATTTGTAGACTCGAACAGGGGATTGATACTTCTGCACCATTTTTATCACACACCTGCAACAGAAGAAAAACACATCTTAGATSCTGTATACAGAACATACCTTTACTGCAATGCTGTCCTTGCAATTTTCACCTACAGACCTTACTAGACATGAGGGAAAATATCTTGCCCTGGGTCACTCAGCAAGTCAGTAGCAGAGAGGGAATGAATGGCCTGTGGTCCCAGTCTGGTGCTGCGGCCAGTAAACAGCACTGCCCTTCACCACGTCCCAAAACCATGGCAGTGAATTCCATGTAGAGYTTAAACAACTCATGATAATAAAGCACAAAACAGAAAGTCAGAATCAACTGACTGCATCCTGGAGAAGGAAGCCTCTCAGAGCTTGCAAAGTTAGGAGGAGGGGGGAAAAAAAAAAAAAAAAAAAATCACAATTTTTCTGCATTATATTTGATATGACCATGCAAAATCCCTTATAAGGCAACAGTTTCCAGTACTAAGTCTTGGCTTCCCGTATGTTCCCATTTTAAAGGCTTTTGTGCACACAGTAGCATCCAGCTGTTTTAACCCCACTAAAAGAAAGAAAAGCAAACAGCATGCTCAGAGAACATGCCTKACRCTTAGCTAGCAATCACATCCCACTGCTGGGATGCCCACCGCTTCCAGCTGAACTAGGAAAATAACTGCAYGTAATGGCAACAATTCAGTCCTCAGCATTTCATCTCTCCAAGCCACCTCTCACTGTTCTCATCAGGATTCCTCCCTCAGACTCTTTTGCCAGGGTTTTAACCCTCAAGCATGCACCAACAATCAGCATCTGAAGGAGGTATGCAAAACATCCAAAATGTTCTCAAGTCGCTTTCTGCGAGTCCCTCAGGATGTTGCTCCTATTAATATCGTCTCCAAACATCAGAAATACAAAACACTGGGCTGAGACACTGTGCTGATGCCACCCCACTCAAAATTCCACTGTGAAGCAGACACAGCCTTTGGCAACATGATGCAGTGCAGCACTGAACTCAACAGAGCAAAAGGCAACTTATCCCTGACATTTTAAGTCAAAAATTGCTGCAGAAACTGAATTCAAAGACAAAAACGATAATACATTTTCCTCCAGGAAGATTTCCACAAAACAGTACTGTACAGCAAAATCTAGGCATTAATCAAGAGAAATGGAAAAAAAATAAAAAGCTTTAAAAAGTTGGGGTACCTGAGAATGAGGGTTGTTTGTAGATGGGTCTCACAATCAGATGGTCAGGCCTTGCTGGGTTGCAGAGAGTCTCATCGGTACTAAAAGCCAGTCCCTGCAGAACGAGTAAACAGAAAAGAAAATGCATCAGTGGAGCATCCAGCTCCAAGTGAAGTGAAGAGAGCAGGGGCGAGCGAGCACCCAGGAAGCCCGGGCTGATATCAGGTAACAGATACTCGAGCCAGGAGAAGCACGGGGCACCTTGTAACGCAACGCTGTAATATGATTATGTAACCCTGATACCCAGGCTGCGTGGGACCTTCYGAGGAAGTGCAAATATAGCAGGAGAAGCCCAGTCAAACCCATTCTTGCTACCAGCTACCAGTTTGCCTTCTCATTGGGAGCTTCAATACCAGAGGTCTATTGCTCCCTACTTCCCTAGCTGAGGGAATCAGAGGAAAAGGGTGAGAGACGATCATAGCCACAAGAGCTGTGGCAGACAGATTGCTATCAACTCAAACTTGCCCTAAAAACATTTATACCTTGGAAAAAGCACGGTGGCTGCCCTGCTAGGCCCTCCTCTCAGGAAAGGACTGCAAGAAAGTCATTCTGCTTCTCAAAGCAAGAGAGATTCCAGGTTGAACATCTGAAAAACAAATAAATGGCACATATTAGCAAATGCAATTCAACTGAAGAGTAGTAACACCCTAAATTGCAGCGTGATCGCTTGTAACTACTAATACACATCAAAACAAAGACCTACGACCATTAACTGGGAAGACCATAATCTCAACTGGCTGCACTCAGTCTGGTTTAAACACCTCGGAGAGGCCAGAGCAGCCAATGCACTGAAGCAATGCATCTAGCTCATCATTTTAATATCTCAATTGGACATGGGAAGTATTGCACAGCTGAATACACACAACAGTGGCAGCTACCACATTTCATGRAGCACCCAGTACTACTCTAGCTGCAAGGCCAACTGCACCAAGAGCCAACAGGCTGCAGCTCTTCAAGACCAGCTGGCTTTGGAGCCCCTTTTACTACAACCCACCCAACAATTCACASTTAACCAAACCTGAGAAAGCAGGGAGTTAATTGCAAAGCCTATCTTGGGTTTGTAATTGAGTCCCCCTTGAGACTGGGGGAAGGAGGGCAGGCTCACTAAAATGCAAGTAGACGTGGCTCTGGCCGTGTATACATTTGCCTGCTCCAACTTTGGTAGAGCAGAAAAATAGGTGAGTTTTAATGAGAAATAATGTAAATGCAGCACGCAGAGTTCCTGTTACATATTAGCTGAGCATGAAGAGCGAGGGCTCCCATGGGAAATACTCTGTACACATCACTACACATACAGCAAGGGGAAGACAGGCAGCAATATTAACTACATGCTTCAATTTTGTTTAGAATCATTCTCTGTGTAGCTGAGGGATTGTTCCATATGTTTAACTTTTATTCCATTATTATTCGTAAGAGGGAGGTAAGTGGCAGAGTACAGCCAGTTAGTTGAAAATAGGAAATTGGGTTTATATATGAATATATTGTACAAATAAGAGCGCSGAACCTTCACCCTTGCTTCTCAGGCAGCCTAGCACAGTCACCCAATGCCACCCACATCAGCACTGCCTGGTGGGTGCAGCTTGAGTGACTCGTCCCACCTGCAGCACCTTCCCTTCAGCTGGAGCGCAGGGATGAGGGGCTGTTGTTTTGTTTTGGGGGGAAGGGGTAGGGGGAACAGAGCACGTGTGAAAGCCCCGGAGCTCCAGACTTCCAGTTCTGCTCCGTTATGACACGCGAGAGCCGCAGCCGGTAACTGCAGCTACAAAAGGGAGGATCTCCAGGCACCAGGGGCTTCCCTCCCCTTATGGGGCAGCAACSTAGACAACACGGAGAAAGACAGGAACCAGGGATATTTTCCCTGCCTTAAACACCTTTCGCTTAGGTAGATGCTGACCCAGTAGCTGACACTTTGCACATATAGTAGCAGGACGGTACCAAGCAATGAGTTATTTATTAGAGCTCCTCCACGTGAGCCAAGAACTTGTTCAAGTCCCCTGCACTGAAACAGCACAAGCAGAAGCTTTTAATGTCTCTTAGAAGTAGCCAGGCTTCTCAGAGACAAAGATTGGATCTTCCTGCTCCATCTTAAACCTATGAAATGCCTATGGTGGATGGAGGGAAGGAATAAGAGRGCTGTAAGGCAGCACATTGCAGCGGAGCCCGGCCTCCCCTTTCTACACCTTGCAGAGACCTGGAGTCCTGCGGTTGGTTATAAACAGAAGAAAACCAACACGAGCATTCAAGCAACAGCCCTCAACATGTTTTTACAAGGCAATAAAGGAAGCGTTTTCTGTGACCGAGAGTGGGAGAGGAAAAAGGAGGCRCTGGCAGCAGCCTGCTCCAAAGCCGGGGCACGGGAGCAGCGCCCTCCATCCAGTGGCAAGATCAGCTTCCCGTCCTTCCCTAATGCTTGCAAGGGGATTTTGTGGCCCAAGAACCACGGTTGGATCTTCACCCCAGGGAGAACCTGTCCCTTCACCCTGCCACACACTAAACGCCCAGCAAAATGCAGCAGCGGACGATCCTTCCCCAAGCCACATTCTGCCTCGTGCCCCTCTCAGACACCACCCCTGTCCCCGCCACTCCAGGGCGGGCAATGGTGCACACCTTTTTAACCCAAAAACGCAGCAAATCGCACCTAACAGCCATTGAATTCAACGTGAAAACGGAGACTGCTCCGGGCGACCTCAGCACGTGGAGCCAGGCCCGGTGGCACCGCCGGGCCCCCTCACACGGGGTCCCCTCTGGGCACCGGTGCCCCGGGCCGCGAGCAGCCTCCCCCTGGCCCCATGCCGGCCTCACGCCGCCGGTTCCGCTCGCGGCGGCCGTTAAGCCCAGCGGCCCGGGAGCGCATGCCGGGGTTAACCCCGCGCTCGAGCCCGGTACCCGGCGCTGACCGCACTCACCGCGGGCAGCCGGCACAGCCGCCACCGGCCCCGGGGCTCCGGCGCGGCCGGGCGGCGCGGGCAGCAGCCGAACTTCGAGGGCGGTTTTTAACCCGGCTGCCCCGCTC